TTAAGAGGGATTGTGCTGAGAGTATTCCAGTAAGAAATGGGAATAATATTGATAAACAAGAAGGTGTGGAGGAAACTCATGTCAATGGGTCAACATGGTAAATCACTAGTGCAGAAAAGACTTTCTATGTCGGTTAAAATGAGCTTTCTACGTCGGTTAAAGAGGCGACATAGAAAGTAATGGGCTTTTTACAAAAAATTTATATTGACAGGATTCGAACCCAGTACATTGTAGTCTAGAATTAGACCAACCACTAAACTACTACGATTTTTATTTATTTATAATTACATTTCCTTTATATTATAAAATAATATTATATTTTATAATATATTATTTTATTATCTATTAGAATTTTATCATTAGCAAGATTTGAACTCAATACCTTAGAGTTGACGACTAATACTTCAACCACTAAGCTACTATGATTTTCCGATAAATAACTTACAAATAAATTATATTTATATACAAAATATATAAATGCAAATATATTTTTATATTTTGATATATTTATATATTTAATTTTTTTATTTAATATACACTTTCTATGTCGGTTAAATTTTAACCGACATAGAAAGTACTTTCTACGTCTGTTAAAATTTAACTAACATAGAAAGTGAACTTTTTATGTCGGTTGAAATTTAACCGACATAGAAAGTACTTTCTATGTCGGTTGAAATTTAACCGACATAAAAGTTCACTTTCTATGTCGGTTGAAATTTAACCGACATAAAAATTCACTTTCTATGTCGGTTAAATTTTAACCGACATAGAAAATACTTTCTATGTCGATTAAAATTTAACCGACATAGAAAGTGAATTTGCTTACATATCATGTCGGTTATATAATAACCGACATAAAAAATTTATAATATTATTACAAAAATGTCACCGCTCTATATACTATGACGGGTGGATTACAACCGTCATAAAAAAATCGTCATAGAATCATATTTTTCCACTAGTAAATGTTTGGTATAGGAGTGCCTGGACTCTCCTCATTTGAATGCGCAAGATTGTGGATGATACTGGAAAATAAGAGCATGTGTGGGATCACTAGGAAAAAGCCCCCAAATAATGTAGGGAGGTGCACATCATGGAAGGGGATAGGATACATAAAGGACTACAAGCAATTCGGTTTGCACAAGAGAATCATATTAAAGCTGTTATTATGGACAAAATTAACAACGGGTTTACATGCAATATAGGTAAAAGATATGGGTGTAGGAAATATCGTTGACATGTAGGTTACAAGTTTGCAAGGAAAGATTAGGAATAGTGTAGAACAAATTCTATAAATGGAAGTCATTCGGCATGAAGATTAAAAGGTTGTTATAAGTTGAAAGGAATATGAACGACATAGAGAAGGTGAGAATCAAAAGGACTTAGGGAATATTAAAAGTGAACATACTCAACAGAGTTTAATTTAAATATTTTATTGAATATTTTGTATTAATGCAAGTATGTTTAATTAAAGTTAAAATTAAACATAAAGTATTTTGCTCAACCATTTTGAATTCACTTAGGGAATTAACACTAGAGAGAAGAAAAATAAAAGATATATTTTGCTCAATGAAGAAGGAATTTGTTCAAGGAAATTGTAAATTTGAGTTAATTAACTTAAGAGGTATTTCACATAGCAAATGGTTTGCCGCTCAACCTAATATTTCGGGATGACAAAACGGGTCAGTCCGTCCCATTTTGGCTTGTCCCGCCTTTGACCCGTAAAAAATGGGGCGAGGCAAGCTGCAGGTCTCGGGTTGCCCTGCCAAAGGGTTGGTTGGTGGACTACTCGTCATATTTTCTATTTTATTTTATTATTTTTAAATTAAATCTTTCAATAAATTTAATAATAAAATTATCATTATCAACAATTCAATATATATATTTCAAATTAATAATATAAATTGATATATTATTTTAATAAATTATATTTTAGAACAATTAAATTAAGATAAAATTTATATAATAATAAATACATGTAACATAAAAAATTTTGAATTTTCTTAGTAGTGAGATACCGAGACTTTATGAATTCTCTTTATGAGACACTCGGGACTTTTAAAATTCTCTTTTCATAAATTTTTATATTATATATTGCGTTTCGACTCTTTGTATTGTATCACAATAAAAAAACTATTAATAAAGCGAGTCGCGGGTTGGTCCTGGCAGGCTTGGCGGGATGGGCCAAAATGGGTTGACGGACTGAAAGTATTAACCCGCCTCGCCATATTATGGCGAGTCGACGGTCGGCCTACTGGGCTTGGCCCACTTTACCATCTCTACTAAGCATAACTAAAATTTTGTAAAAATAAGAATTAGTTCGAAAATTTGATATATTATTGTTTATGGGTCTTGACTTAACCTTATATCATTATTTAATTTTAGGTTTATAATTTTATTTTTTTATTATTAAATAATATTTTTAGATCAATTTAAATAAAAAAAATGAGATATAGATAATTGAAATTTGAATGTGTAGAAATCTTATAGAAACTATTTTGTGATTACTAATTAGACCTAATGACATTACTAGATTTTTTTAATTTTTATGGGATTTTTTTTACTAAATATTTGTAAAAATTAACAAAAATTTCCTACAAAATTTTATGTGAAAAAATTCTTAAGTAATTTTTTGTAAATTTAAATTTACATATAATTTCTTGCAATTTAAATTTGCATATAATTTCTTGTCATTTAAATCCACCTATGATTTCTTACTAATTTAAATTTGCATGTAAATTTTTACCAAATTTCAAATTTGCAAGTAATTTTAAATTTACAAATAATTTCTTGGTAATTTTAGATTCACAAGAAATTTCTTGTTAATTTTAAATTGGTAGGTAATTTCTTATGAGTTTTTTTTAAGAAAATTTACAAGAAATTTAGTATAAATTTAAAATTATATATATATATATATATATATGAGATTGAAAAAAAATTATTATATATTTTATTTTATTACATAATTAAATAATTATAAAAAAGTTTTGTTTGTTTATTCGACTAAACAATTAAGCTAAAAACAAAAATAATATGAAAAGTTTTTTTAAGAGAATTATTTAGTCTTACATCAACATGATCCCCGTGAATTGTAAGACAATATAAACAAAGAAAAATACTATTATATGAATGTAATTATCACAAATGCATGAAATGAAACTACCAATGTTTGGAAATATGAGATTGTCTTGAAACATGAGACTCATTTATATGGAGAACCTTGTTCTCTTGCATTGTTGAGTTCTTAGGTATTCAAAATAACTATGTTCTCCATTGTTGAGCAAAAAATTTGGTCCGTATTAATTTGAGAAGGGCAACATTGAGGAAAAGTTACAAAACAAAAATGATGCAACACCTGGTAGAAAAAGTTCACCAATCTCCCAACAAACAATATTACTATTTAAAATTAATGAAATATTACTACTATTCATTTTAAGACTATACTTTATATTTCATTTACAATAAACAATAACAAGAGTTCAAAATTAACTAAGAATCTAAACCTATAATTACTTACAAATATATTTTTACTTGCACAAATTTTGGTAGAATATCTACAACCATGTTAGACTTGGAAGATCTTTCCTGCACAATGATCTTTCTCAGGTAATCTGAATAACAAAAGACCAACAATTGCAATGCATATTTTTGTCATTATCAGAATCATATCAAATCTTTAATCCTGAAATTCAAATGAAAAAGTGTGAATGACTAAACTCAAACATTAAAGCGTCAAAACAATATAAATAATTCAAAACTTTAAAACTTTGTAAAAAAATGCATCAAAGAAAATCATTGTTATTGTCAAAATCACATCATATTTTTAATTCCCTGCAATTTCACTATCACCTTCAATAATTAAGTTAAGTGTTATAATAAATCAAGAATAAAATTTTAAATATTACCATCTTCAATATGATCACTATCTTCATCATCATCATTTTCATTGCTATGTTGAGATGATGAAGATGGGTAGGAAGAAGATGCAACAAACCCTAAGTGTTGCATTAAGGCTACTACTTGATTCTTAGTTTTAGTCAACTTTTTTTCATTTTTAGCTTATCTTTTTTTTGTCTTTGTAACTCTTGTCTCATTTCTTGTTTTTCTTGTTCTTGTCTATGTAATGATTCATTTAAGGCTTGAATTTGACTTCTTAAAGCATCAACATTTTCAAAATTTGATTGTTTAGTTGAAGATATGATTAACATTTTGCCTAGAGATACAAGACCAAATATTCTTCCCTTATTTTTTTCCAACTGAATGGATCCATAAATCCAAATATGATGGCATTTGGCTCATGGATTGTTCACCATCAATTGCATCCTCCCCAAAACAATGAGATAATAACTCATTTTTCTTTTGTTTAAATTTCTCCTACAAATGAAAAAGTACTTAGTGAAAATATATAAATAACAAAAGTAAGTGAAATATGTTCAATCCTTTAAAATATTATATCATTCTTTCAAAATAAAGAGATGAAATAGCAGTTTTACATAAACTTAATATCTTTATTTCTTTATTTTTACTTTTCAAGTGCCTATTGAGTATCAACCAATCATCTTAATACAAGATATAATAGACATTTGTTATTCCCATGTCAAACATTTCTTGATTCAACACTCCTTACAAATTCATCTAATAAACTTATTGCATCTGCAATTATTTGGGAAAGTTCTACAGAGAATAAAAATTACCTAAAAATAAAGGTAAGAGGGCCCTTTTCAACTAAATTCAAACTTTGACTACTTGAACGTGAAAGACTACATGCATATCTTCAATTAGATTAACACCAATTGATTCTTTTTATCTTTGATCAACATTTCTATTTGGTGTAGATGATTTTCAGTGGCACTATATTCACTAGGAGTTATTGATTTTGATTTGCACAGGTAATAAACTTTAGAACAGCCACAGAGAGCCTTAACATCTATATAAATGGGTGGAACTCAAACGTACAATAATATAGTTCTACAAAGGCAGTTCTTATATCAACCAATGTAATGGATGGGAATTCCTTCTTAGAGCCCAAGAAGGTATAATTTGGTTTACTTGTACTTGTTCTATACAATTACATACAATTTGCCTAATATGTATATTTGTTATTTTTATTTTAAACACAGGTGGTGCCACAAACAAGTTCACTAGAGAAGGTTGACAAGTACATGAATATTATACCCTCTTCCTATTTAATGATATAATTAGATTTGTTAATATGATCAGAAGCTAGTTACAACATAGGATAATTTCACTATAATAAAATGAAGACAAATATGAAGGACATTGGACAATTTTTTTTCAATACTAACAAGAAATGTTATACATTGTGGCTGGTTTAAGACCGCGAAATGTTATGTGGCCTTCTCTTTGGTGGTGCCTACAACAGACCTGACCAACCCATATGCATGGACGAGTTGAACTAGTGAAAGTTATTTAAATGTTAGACATAAATTATTATTATTTCCCTCACTGGGGTTTAAACCTAAAAAGCTAAACTTGTTGGTAAGTATACAATAAATACAAATATCTATTGAAAGTAGAAACTTATTCTTAATGTCATTGATGCTTAATTACCAAATTATGTACTATTTATAAATGAAATCAAAATTATGGGATATTTTTATCGAAATCTTTTTGCTACAGAACTTCTAGTATTTGCAACTTTTTATTCTTCTGCTGTGATTAAAAGGTTACTACTTCATTCACCATATTTTTCTATACAACCATCTTCAATGGTTGAAATTGGAAAGATGAACATCATGAAACTGTGTATTTTGTATAATAATATATGACATATCACCCAACCAGTAAAATATATAACTAGTTTCATATTTGACTGTGTGCTTATCATTACCAATGTGCTTATCAAATTGAAAACTTACAAAAACAATTTTGGCATGAGAACCAACCAAATTTTGATCCTTCTTTCTCCTATGTGTACTAAAATAAAACTCAGTCAAAGATAGGTCTATTCCTTTTTCCTCTTTCTGATAACAAAGAAAGTTTAATGTTATTAATTCTAAATGTAAATTATAAAAAACAAAGTATAGTAATAATACCATTCTCTTCCAATGTAAGTGATGAGGTATTGATCCACCTGTATGAAGAGATGCATCATCCAAAGCTACCCGATTTCTCTTATTTGTTGCAGACTTCTTTTTGAAACTTGTAGATTCCTAATGTTTCTTTAATTGTCCCCATACATCCTCTCCCATCCAAATGGGGTTTTTCTCTAGATCTTTTCTAGTATCTTGCATTAATTGAGACATTTTAGATGCATCTCTTCTCTCAAAGTTACGTCGCACCATGTCATTTATATTGAGGTGGCCAAGAAAATTTTGACTACATTATTTTTGAGAAAAATGAAAAATAATGATTATACTAGAGACATTTTCCAAAAATAAATAAAATCTTTTAATCAAAATTTTAAAATTAATTACTTTGAATATATCAAACCAAGACTCCCTTTGATCCATGGATAACTTCTTCCATGATGGCTTTGCCTCTTCCAAGTTAGAGCGAATGATAGAAGCAATCATCCCAACTACCAACTTGTGTTGATTAAACCTATATAAGACAATAAAAATCATATTATATGTTAAGAAAGTTAAAATAATTCACTAAAAAAGTTACTCACTCATTTCCTTCTAGAAGTATTAATATTTTTTTCCTATTATTGTCTCCACTAATATGGCTAGACAAAGAAGATGGAGCTTCATTTGCCACTTGAAAATCATGATTTGAAAGACCTGTTGAGTAGGGATGGGTTGATGTTGGGAGGGCCTATGTGGATGTGGATGTGGAGGAGGAGGTTGATATATAGGTGGATGTGGAGGCTGAGATGAAGGAAGAGGTGGAGGTGGAGGTAGAGGTTGAGATAGATGTCAAGGTGAAGGTTGAAATAGAGGTGGACAAGGTGGAGGCTGAGATGAAGGAAAAGGTGGAGGTGGAGGTTGAGATAGATATGAAGGTGAAGGTCGAAATAAAGGTGGAAAAGGTCGAGGCTGACATGAAGGAGGAGGTGGAAGTTGAGATAGATGTGAAGGTGAAAGTCAAGGTGAACAAGGTGGAGGTTGAGATGAAGGAGGAGGTGGAGGTGGAGGTTGAGATAGATGTGAAGGTGATGGTGGAGGTTGAGATGAAGGTAGTGGTCGAGATGGATGTGGAAATGGGGGTCGAAATGGTGATAAAAATGAAGGTAGAGGCCAAGTTATTTGCTTGTAGGTGGTCAATTGGGTCATCCTCAATTGTTGTATTAACTTGTGACTCATTCATTTGATATGAAACTTGTAAAATATGTCTATCATCAACAACTCCCCTTGGTTTTGTTTTGATAACTACCAGCCAATCAACCTTATCCTTTTGTCGCCCAGGAAAAGATGAGTAGTAAACTTGAGTTGCAACTTTTGGAAAAATAAAAGGATCAAATTTGTCGTATTTTCTTCTTTTTCTTACCTCTACAATCTTATGTGTTCTCGTCCCATGGTTTGAAGGATCAAACCAATCACAATAAAATAAAAATAACTTTTTTTGTGATTGACTTGGCCATTCCAATTCTAATATCTCTACAAGAACGCCGTAATAATCACTTGATGTTTCACCATGTCCAATTACACTAACACATGCTCCACTATTATATGTTGTTTTTCCTTTACCCCATGTTGTTGTGTGAAATTTGTACCCATTCACAAAATAAATTGACCACAACTTTATTATCCTCAAAGGTCCCTTGCCAAGTCATAGAAGTTTGAATTTTGTAACTTAAGTTGGTGATTCTATTTTACCTATTCAAATAAAAGTTATAATTAAATAACTTAATAAAACTTGCTATCAAATTTATTTGTTTAATCAAAGCAATGCTTACATATTCTTTAAATCACCATGGAAAATCAGCTTCTATTTGTTTATTAATGATATTATCATTGAGATTCCCATAGGTATCTTTCAAAGTTTGTACATATAAACTACAAAAAAGGATAATTAAATTATATGACTATTGTTAAATGAATTAAAATTTGACAACTATATAATATTTGATATTTACTCAATGAACGATTTAACCTCGTTACAGCTCAAAAAAACATATAATTGGGTAGCCAACCTTTCTTTATCATTAAGCCACCTTTCTTTATATTTACCCACCGTTTGTCCAAATGGCTTAAAGATAGATAATGTTAGCTCTGTATTGTCTTCATGAACTCCCTCATTCACACAAGTTTGAGGTGCAAAACAATGAGAATGAGATAGGATGCCTCTTGTAGTAAATACTCTTCACAAATGGATCCTTCCACACTTCTCTGGTTCTTCACAGTTTTTTTAATTTTATTTAGAAACCTGTCATCACTGTCAAAAGAGGTGGTCGGAACGATGCAATAGTTTCGTTCGACTCGCGTTTTTTTAAAGTATGGTACAACACCTTTAGGTTGTCCGATAACTGGGTTGAACCTAAAAGCAAGGTTTTGGAAAGGTTCGAGGAGTCACCACCAATGTTTTTACCAGAAACATTGGAAAAGGAAAAAAAAGAAGGCAGTGGTCTTTTTAGAAAAATCAACTTTGGTCATTATAACTAGAGTTAGGTAAGGGAGTTAGTTACGTGTAGGGAAGGTATTAACTTCTCTACAATGCCCCTTTCGGGTTCCCTATGATGGACCATTTTTATAAAGAAATAATAACTCTCAATTGCGCTTTTACCCTTATTTATTCATTGCGAAAATTAAATTATTGATTACATGGCCCTAAATGATTAATGCACAACAATACTATCTAAAAAGTAGTAAAGTAGAGAAGGGAGTATATAGAAACCTTCGAAGCAAGCTTTTATAGTATGTTCTTTGAAAGAGGGTGCTTTTTGGCAATCCCCACGCTCTACAATAATGATCGTTCTTCCTCGCAACACTATAGATCGCTTTCTAAGAACTCTAAGAAACTCTGGAAATGCTTCAGAGGGATGCTAGGAGAGTAATTCGAAGATACTACCGAAGGGAAAGTGGTAGAATGATGTGTAAAGAGTGAGAAAGTTCCCCCTTTTATAGGAATTCGCACCTGTCAGTTCGGGACCGCCGTCTCGCTTGACAAGGTCGGGACCGCCATCTCGCCAAATGAGACGGCGGTCTTGCCTTCGGTAAGTGGTGAGTGGCGAGACGGCAGTGTCGACCCTTTAGGCGGAATTTCTTATTTTTCCTATACAAAAATCCTTCCTATTCTAATATGGGGCCTATTGATCAATCCTAGGGACCTTTTAGGCCTTGCCCATCTTCGAACGAAAGTCTTCTTCTCTTTATTTTGAGGCCAGGAAAGATTTGGGGTCTACAGTTGCCCCCCCTTCACCTGACTAGCTGACTGTTAGCTCGTCATGCCAAAAAAATCGGCTGGAGGGTGAAGGAGTTAACCCTCTTGCCCGGATATCCTTCGGATGCTCCTTCTTATGGTAGCCGACCCTCCAGATGAAAAATATGTGTGTGCCTCTGGGATGCTCCTTCATGCGGTAGCCGACCCCTTTGGACAAAAAAGGTGTGAACCTCCGGGATGCTCCTTCTTGCAGTAGCCGACCCCTCGGTTGATGAGTATGAACCCCTATCCGGTTGCTTATAGCTTTGGGATGCTCCTTCTTACGGTAGCCGACCCCTCGGTTGACAAGTGGTAGAACCTCAGGATGCTCCTTCTTGCGATAGCCGACCCCTCGGTTGATGAGTATGAACCCCCATCCGGTTGCTTATAGCTTTGGGATGCTCCTTCTTGCGGTAGCCGACCCCTCATTTGATGAGTATGAACCCCCATCCGGTTGGTGCAGTCCACTTTGTAGGACTGGTGGTGGTGGCGACTTACTGCTCTAGCTCATGCACCATTCCTTGTGAGGAGTGTTTTTGCTTGATATTCTATTTTTTTACTTTTCTTGATGAAGTCTTCTGGTGTGTCGGGGATTTGTTGGTCTCCTTCCAGCTAGTTGAGTGCTGGAGATTCTTTGTTTTTGATCTTTTGTAGTGGTCATCCGACTTCGCTGGTGGTCGGGGATTTTTGGTGATATAGGCAGGAATCCGCTGGGGATTTTATTGATCTTTTGGGCAACGCCTTTGAGCAGGCGGGCGTTTTGCTTGTTTGCTTTTTTTTTTCTCTTTGTTAGGAGAATGGTGGCTAATGTTTTGGGATAAATCTTGCCTTTTTCCGCTGTTTATTCTTTTTCCTCGTGATTTTGGATTTTGGCTTTTTCAGGATAGCGCGTAAGCCTTTTTACTTTGCTGGCTTTTTCTTTTTCGGAAGAGAATAAAGGCAAAAAACTTTACCAAAAGATTTTATTTATATATATCATGAAATTTGTACAATGATTATATATACAATGATGTTCCTAAGGCGGCAATGGGCTCGACTACGAGGCTGAAGATGACTCAGGAGGAGGAAACTGCCAGAGCATGTGCGTCTGAAACTCTTCCTAACTTCGGATCATGCCAAGCACATGCTGGCTGATCGTATCCAGGCTCTGAATCACTCCCTCTTGCTTTTGGCTGATGGTCTCCAACCGCATCTTGAAGACGTCCTACCTCAGGGACATCTGGTCTAACTGCTGGCGAGTGTCATCCATGTGATGGTGGAAGCCAAGAAAGTCATCCCCGTACTGCTGCTCGAACTCCGAGGGCATCGGGATCTCCTGCGACGCATCCAGATCCTGGATGCTTAAGGTCATGGCAAGTGCCAGGTGGAGGGTCACCTGGGACCCTTGCTTGATTGGCATGCCCATGCTGACGAGCATGGATCCACTGATAAGCTCAGGTCGCAGAATGGAGGGAATGTCCTCCCCGTTGGCGCATCCCCATCTCTCGGCCAGCGGGGTGATGAGGGGAGCCATGAGGATGGCTCCAACGGGGCGGCTCCCAAAGTCCTTCAGGGCCCTCAAGAAGAAGTAACCGGGATTACACCGGCATCCGTGCAGCACGAAGAGATCAGACTGAGTGATCTTCCCCTGACTCTCTTTTTGTGCATGGATCGTCTCTGCCAGTAACTTGTGGCAGATGCGGAGAGGAGGGCTAAGTGCCGACCCTTTCATCAGGGCTGGTAGAATCTGCGACCCGGTGAGATCCTCCCATATCTCACTGATTGTGAGAGCAGCCAGCTGCTCACAGATAGCTCCCTGATATTCTAGCGTAAGGTGTCTGCGGGTTGGTTGAAGCCCATGGTGACGTTGAACTCATCCAATGTCATTGTTCGGTAGGTCTCGTTCATGTAGTACGAGACCATCCTCACCGGAGGGACACCAGGGAATAGCGTAGACATGTCGACCATCATGACGGAGGCGAGGAACTCAATCACAGCTTGCTTGTAGATGCGGGTCGGAGGGTCCTGGAGGAGGAAGTCCCACCCGATGCTATGGATGTAACCTCGCACATCCTCTTCCCAACCGAAATCGGCCAGGATACCGTAGTCTAAACGCAACATGGGGGTGCCAGGAGTAGCCCCTAATGTGACCCAGCCTAACCTGGTGTTGCAGCGTAATCTGAGTAGGGTCCAGAGGAGCCTGTGGTGCGGGAGTGCTCGGGCCAGATCCCCGACCTCTCTTTCGGGGCCTGGAAGATTCTCCTTGTTGCATTTTGGTCAAAGACACTCAAAGATGTATGAGAATGTATGAGAGAATGTAGGAATGGAGTGCTTTAAAACTAACCCGAGTACCGTCTGGAATGTCAAGACAACTGCCGCTGCCGTCCGTTCCGATGTCTAGGGACATCTCGAACGTTTAAGCGAGCGGTCGCGAAAAGATGGTTTAGACTCGCGTTTTATTTTAAAATGTGTTCATTGCTTCCGAGGTGCTCAATAACCGAACTATCCTCTAATAAAAGCAAGATTTTCGCAAAAGGGTTCTTATGGAGTCGCCATTAATGTTTTGACCATAAACATTGGAAAAGGATAAAAAGGCGTTGATTTTAAGAAAAACCAAACTTGACCATTATAACCAGAGTTAGGTAAGGGAGTTAGTTACGCGTGGGGAAGGTGTTAACACCCCACGACGTCCCTTTCGGGTTCCCTATGACGGATTAATTCATTAAGTAAAGATTACGATAAATTATGCTATTACCCTATTTTATTTATACAATATTTAAAAATGGCTATCTACATGATTTTATTTTCTATTTCATACATAAAGCAAAAAATAAAGCAATAAAAGAGAAGAGAAGTGAAAAGAACCTCCGTAGCAAGCTTTTTATTGCAAATCTTTAACTGTGAGGATGTGTTTTGGCAATCCCCCGCTCTACAAAGACTCTCCTCCCCGAATACAAGATCGACTCTACTAAA